TAAGAAAAAATTTTATTGTATAAGGGAAAATAGTAATAGATAAGAGTAATTTGTTAATTTTGGATATAATAATTTAAATATTTCATCTTTCACGACAATAGTAATATATTGAAAAGAATTGAAAATTTAACTTTTAATAAGAATAAAATTTATACCTAACTTGGAACAATAGTAATATATTGAAAAGAATTGAAAATTTAACTTTTATATATAACTTTTAATAAGAATAAACTTTTAATAAGAATAAAATTTATACCTGACTTGGAACAATAGTAATATATTGAAAAGAATTGAAAATTTAACTTTTATATATAACTTTTAATAAGAATAAACTTTTAATAAGAATAAAATTTATACCTGACTTGGAACAATAGTAATATATTGAAAAGAATTGAAAATTTAACTTTTAATAAGAATAAAATTTATACCTGACTTGGATTAATATGATATCCATGTTTTTTTGCAAATACTTTACCTACAGATGCTGTAAACGAATAAATTACTATAGCAATTACTAATGCATCCAAAATAAATGCACTAAAATATTTGAATTCTGGTAGTGTTGGCATTGGTAACCTATAAAATTACTTAAATTATCAGTATAAATACATCGTAATTCATTCATTATCATACATTTTCTTAAATTATATTAACAATCTAAAATTGAATAAATTTTTTTTTTGGAAACAACCTTGTAGAGAAGAATGAAATATATCTAAAATATTTAATGAAAAAAAAAAAAAAAGATTGTTTAAAAAAAATAAGAAAATCGAATAGAATCCTAATGAATATTAATTGTTTTGCGTTCGTTTTTTTTTTTTAAAAAAAAAAAAAAAACAACTAAATGATAAAAATATGAATAAATAATAAAAATATTGAATAAATAATTGTTTCAAATAAGTCTTAAGAACCAACTTTGATGGTATAAATCCAACAATAGCAACTTTTTGTTTTACATTTAATTCCAACATATAAGTCACCAATGTGCCGAGTATCATCTAAAATTTTCACAATAAATTCATAAAGAAAATTTAAAAACATATATGAAGCAATATATTTATAGTAATACTTAAATTTATTAATGCATAAACTTATAAAAATATTTAAAACTATCAGCATTAAAGCAAAAAAAAAATTTTCACTCATCCATTTTTGGTAAAAAAATTTGATAGAAATAATTTAAAATAGGAAAAAATTAAAAAGTAAACTAAAAAAAAGAAATATCAACCACAAAGTTCAAATGGCATTGGTATTGTTTGGTAAAAAAAAAAAAAAATTTATAGCAATAATTTAAAATAGGAAAGAATTAAAAATAAATTAAAAAAAGAAATATCAACCACAAAAGTTCAAATGGCATTGGTATTCGAATCCGTTGTTGTATTAATGGATTTAAAATATACTTTCAAGCATCAATATAACAATGAAATACTGATATGATTACCACATAAATTTGCTTCCTTTAGTAATGTCACAAAATCGAATAGAAACTAAAATATTTTGTTAAAAATTAATTTAATTTTTAATTGTAACAGATACAAAGTATTAATTATCCTATCAATTAATAAAGTGATAATTTGAAAATACTCTTTATAATATTTTCAATTCAAAAATATACAACCATAAATTTGCTTCCTTTAGTAAATGTCACAAAATCGAATAAAAACTAAAATATTTTGTTAAAAATTTTATATATATTTTAATGTTTTAATTTTAATTGTATTTTAATTTTTAATTGTAAAAGATACAAAGTATTAATTATCCTATCAATTAATAAAGTGATAATTGAAAATACTCTTTGTAATATTTTCAATTCAAAAATATACAACCATAAATTTGCTTCCTTTAGTAATGTCACAAAATCGAATAAAAACTAAAATATTTTATTAAAAATTTTATATATATTTTAATGTTTTAATTTTAATTGTATTTTAAATTTTAATTGTAATTTTAATTTTTAATTGTAACAGATACAAAGTATCAATTATCCTATCAATTAATAAAGTGATAATTTGAAAATACTCTTTATAATATTTTCAATTCAAAAATATACAACCATAAATTTGCTTCCTTTAGTAATGTCACAAAATCGAATAAAACTAAAATATTTTATTAAAAATTTTATATATATTTTAATGTTTTAATTTTAATTGTATTTTAATTTTTAATTGTAATTTTAATTTTTAATTGTAACAGATACAAAGTATCAATTATTCTATCAATTAATAAAGTGATAATTGAAAATACTCTTTATAATATTTTCAATTCAAAAATATACAACAATTATAATGAAATGAATGTAATATTTTATTTTAAAAATAAAATATATTACTAAATTAATTTGAAAAAATTTTAAATGGATTATATTTTAATGGTATTTTAATTTTAATTAATTTTAATTTGTAATGCAAATACATACATGCTATCAATTGTAAAACCACCAACTACTGGATCAGCCAAATAAACAGTAAGAAAATGCAATTGTAATATGGCAAAAAATTGCCTGAAAAATAAATTAAATGTTAATTAGAAATTTAAAGATGAAAAAAAAAACTATAAATTAATAAATAAATAAATTTATATTTATTGAAAAATGTAAATCAAATATCAATTAAATTCAAAGATGAAAAAAAAAAAAAATTATAAATTAATAAATAAATAAATTTCTCTTCTATTGAACAAATATAAATCAAATATCAATTAGAAATTCAAAGATGAAAAAAAAAAAACTATAAATAAATAAATAAATAAATTTACTTTCTATTGAACAAATATAAATCAAATATCAATTAGAAATTTTAATATGAAAAACTATAAATAAATAAATAAATTTACTCTTCTATTGAACAAATATAAATCAAATGATAATTAGAAATTCGAATATGAAAAACTATAAATAAATAAATAAATTTACTCTTCTATTGAACAAATATAAATCAAATGATAATTAGAAATTCGAATATGAAAAACTATTAATAAATAAATAAATTTACTCTTCTATTGAACAAATATAAATCAAATATCAATTAGAAATTCAAAGATGAAAAACTATAAATTAATAAATAAATAAATTTACTCTTCTATTGAACAAATATAAATCAAATATCAATTAGAAATTCAAAGATGAAAAAAAACTGTAAATAAATAAATAAATTTGCTCCTCTATTGAACAAATATAAATCAAATATCAATTAGAAATTCAAAGATGAAAAAAAACTATAAATAAATAAATAAATTTACTCCTCTATTGAACAAATATAAATCAAATATCAATTAGAAATTCAAAGATGAAAAAACTATAAATAAATAAATTTACTCTTCTATTGAACAAATATAAATCAAATATCAATTAGAAATTCAAAGATGAAAAAAACTATAAATAAATAAATAAATAAATTTGCTCTACTACTAAACAAATATATCAATTCTGTTCATTCTTAATCATACTTGAACTAATCACTTGAAATGCTCTTTCATCTTTGATGCTAATTGTAATTACTATCATTTTTCATTTTTTTTTTTTTTTTTACATTAAAAATAAATTTCGTGCTATATATATATGAAAATAGCTAAATTCCTACTTAGTTTTTGAAATTTCTGGTTAAATTCAATTGCTTCGTTTACTGTCATTGTAATAATTTAAAGGATATAAAGTAATTTGTTTTTTTTTTTTCAAATATATTAGTTGAATATTGTATTGTTTACTTATTATATATATTAGTTGAATGTTGTATTGTTTACTTATTATATATATTAGTTGAATGTTGTATTGTTTACTTATTATATATATTAGCTGAATGTTGTATTGTTTACTTATTATATATATTAGTTGAATGTTATATTGTTTACTTATTATATATATTAGTTGAATGTTGTATTGTTTACTTATTATATTTTAATATAATAAAATATATATTTTGAATTAATTATGTAATCGTTTCAATTTAATTTAATTCAATTCAATTCAATTCTTTTTTTCTCTTTTCATTCCTATCATATTATTAACAATTTTATTTTTTTTTTCAAATATATTAGTTGATGTTATATTGTTACTTATTATATTTTAATATAATAAAATATATATTTGAATTAATTATATGATCGTTTCAATTTAATTTAATTCAATTCAATTCTTTTTTATTTCTTTTTCATTCCTATATATTATTAAAAATTTTATTTTTTTTTCAAATATATTAGTTGAATATTGTATTGTTTACTTATTATATTTTAATATAATAAAATATATATTTGAATTAATTATGTGATCGTTTCAATTTAATTTAATTTAATTCAATTCTTTTTATTTCTTTTTATTCCTATCATATTATTAAAAATTTTTATTTTTTTTAAATATATTAGTTGAATGTTGTATTGTTTACTTATTATATTTTAATATAATAAAATATATATTTTGAATTAATTATGTGATCGTTTCAATTTAATTTAATTCAATTCAATTCTTTTTTATTTCTTTTTTCATTCCTATCATATTATTAAAAATTTTATTTTTTTTTTTCAAATATATTAGTTGAATGTTGTATTGTTTACTTATTATATTTTAATATAATAAAATATATATTTTGAATTAATTATGTGATCGTTTCAATTTAATTTAATTCAATTCAATTCTTTTTTTTTCTTTTTTCATTCCTATCATATTATTAAAAATTTTTTTTTTTTCAAATGTATTAATTGAATATTATATTGTTTACTTATTATATTTTAATATAATAAAATATACATTTTGAATTAATTATGTGATCGTTTCAATTTAATTTAATTTAATTCAATTCTTTTATTTCTTTTTCATTCCTATCATATTATTAATAATTTAATTTTTTTTTTCAAATATATTAGTTGAATATTGTATTGTTTACTTATTACATTTTAATATAATAAAATATATATTTTGAATTAATTATGTGATCGTTTCAATTTAATTTAATTTAATTCAATTCTTTTTCTTTTTTCTTATTTCATTCCTATCATATAATTAAAAAATATTAATTTAGATGAAATAAACAAATTACCATAACGAAACCAACAGTAAATGTTAGAGTAGCCATCAATCGAACAGTTAAAATATTATTATCAATCATTTGTAAATTATATAAATCAGTGGTATTTTTATCAAATATATCTTCCATTCTACGTTCCAATGCATTTCCTGTCATTAATGCTGCAACTGCAAACATACCTGTAATTAACCTTTATCTCATAATTAATATTAAATTTATCATTTAAAAAAAAAAGCACTTCAAAGCATTATTATTATTTTTTTTCTAACAGAAATTTTTTTGTTTTCAAAAGTTAATTTTGTAAATTTCAAACAAAACTTTGTTAATGCTAAATAAGAATTTCAATGCTACAACTGCAAACATACCTGTAATTAACCTTTATCTCATAATTAATATTAAATTTATCATTTAAAAAAAAAAAAACAAAGCATTATTATTTATTTTTATTTTTTTTTTGTTTTTGAAAAGTTAATTTTGTAAATTTCAAACAAAACTTTGTTAATGTTGAAATAAAAATTTCAATGCTACAACTGCAAACATACCTGTAATTAACCTTTATCTCATAATTAATATTAAATTTACATTTAAAAAAAAAAAAGCACTTTAAAGCATTATTTATTTTTTATTTGACAGAATTTTTTTTGTTTTCAAAAGTTAATTTTGTAAATTTCAAAACAAAACTTTGTTAATGTTGAAAAAAAATTTCGTTCAAAGAAATCTAAAATTATATTATATCAAAAATTTTTTTTTTTGTATGAAAAGAAATCAAAATTAAATAAAATTAAATAAATAAAATAAAAATAAAATAAAAAAAATAAAAATAAAATAAAATAAAAAATAAAATAAACAATTATTATTAAATAAATAAATAATAAAATAATTAGTTTGTTTCAAAAAAAAAAAATTTCAAATAAAACTTTCAAAATAATAACAAACCAAGATTGATATGCTTTGATGTACCAAATATAACATAAACTAAAGTAGGAAATAATGATGTATACAATCCAATCACTGCATTCACATTTGCTAATGCAGAATAAGCCATAGCTAAATTAATTCTGTTTAATAATAAAATAATAAACAATTAAATAAACAATTATTAAATATAATAAAATAATAAACAATTAAATAAACAATTATTAAATATAATAAAATAAATTAAATATAATAAAATAATAAAAATTAAATAAACAATTATTAAATATAATAAAATATATTAAATATAATAAAATAATAAACAATTATTAAATAAACAATTATTAAATGTAATAAAATAATAAACAAATAAATAAACAATTATTAGTAGTATTGTTAAGAAAGAAAATTATAAAGTAAATGTCAGTTATTTTTTTTGTTTCCTTACAGATATTTTCGGAAATATTTTAATTAAGTAAATAAATGATCGGAAAAAAATTTATAATATGCCTATGAGAAGCTATAAAGAATTAGTTTTATAATTTAATAAACAATTAAATAAACAATTATTAGTAGTATTGTTAAGAAAGAAAATTATAAAGTAAATGTCAGTTATTTTTTTCCTTACAGATATTTTCCGGAAATATTTTAATTAAGTAAATAAATGATCGGAAAAAAAAAATTTATATGTGCCTATGAGAAGCTATAAGAATTAGTTTTATAATTTAATAAACAATTAAATAAACAATTATTAGTAGTATTGTTAAGAAAGAAAATTATAAAGTAAATGTCAGTTATTTTTTTTTTTTTCCTTACAGATATTTTCCGGAAATATTTTAATTAACTAAATAAACGGAAAAAAAATTTATATATGCCTATGAGACCTATAAGAATTAGTTTTATAATTTAACAATAATAATAATAATAATAATAATAATTTGTCAGTTATTTTTAATTACAATATTTTAAAAAATAATTTAATTAACTAAATGATCATAAAAATAATTTAAATTAAATATCAGAATATATAAAATTAATTACATTATAATTTAATTAATAATAATAATAATAATAATAATAATAATTAAATATATCATTTTTCTTTTCTTTTTCAACCAAACAAAAAAAAAAAAAAAAGAAAAGAAAAATTAATGGCAAAAATGAAAATGTCATTTTGGATGACATTTTATATACGCTTTATTCATTTGAAAAATAAATAATCCAAACAAACTATATTATCTTTTTAAAATTCATTACAGAAAAAAAAAATTAAAAAGTTTGTCATTTCTATCTAATATTTTTTTAAAAATAATTTAATACCATTAAAATATAAATTAAATAAATATATTTCATGTTAATATGTCACTGTAAATTGAACACAAAGTAGTTGAAAGTATAATCTAATATAAGAAATCAACAAGAAAAATCTTTTCCAAAATGATTTTTAAACTCTTTCGGAAGAAGTTAAACAAATAGTTATGATAAAATTTAAACTTAATAAATTAATAAATAATCAACATTAATTAATTAAATATTTAATTAAATAATTTATATAAACAATATTAAATGA